GGTGTACTATTCATTTTGTATTCCCGCCAGCCTTGTATGAGATTTCCTTTTGCTCCACATCCCCACCAGCACTTGGTGTCAGTGTTTTGGATTTTGGCCATCCTGATAAGGTGTTCAGTTGTTTCGGTTTGCATGTTCCTGATGTGGAACACCTTTTCACATGCTTATTTGACATTTGTGAATCTTCTTGGTGAGGACTGTTAAGGCATTTGGCCCAGTTTTTTTTTTTTTTTTTAGTTTTTGTCTTCTTACTATTGTTGAGTTTTTGTTTTGTTTTGTTTTGTTTTTTAATATATTTTATTGATTTTGTACAGAGAAAAAGGGAGAGAAATAGAGAGTTAGAAACATCGATGAGAGAGAGTCATCCATCAGCTGCCTCTTGCACACCCCCTACTAGGGATATGCCCGCAACCAAGGTACATGCCCTTGACCAGAATCGAACCCGGGACCTTTCAGTCCCCAAGCCGACGCTCTATCCATTGAGCCAAACCGGTTTTGGCACTATTGTTGAGTTTTAAGAATCCTTTGTATATATATTTTCTTTCTTTTTTTAATCCTCACCCCAAGACAATGTTTTTTCAATTGATTTTAGGGAGAGAGAGAGAAAAAAAAAATTCCATGTAAAAGTGAAACAAACAGGTTGCCTCCTGCATACGCCTCGATCAGGGATTAAATCCAAAAGCTTTTTGCTGTACCGGGTGATGTTCCATCCCAATGAACAACCGGCCAGGGCAAGAGTTATTTGCATATTTTGAATAACAGTCTTTATGAGATTTGTCTTTTGCAAATATTTTCTCCCAGTTTGTGTCTTGTCTTCTAACTTTGTTGAGTTCATGGATTCTTCAGTTCATGAATCAGGACAAGCCAGAGCAGGAATGGCTCACCTCACAAGTCTATGGCTTCAGCTGGGAAGACTCAAAAAGCTAAAGGGTAATTCAAATAGCTGAGAGCTGGAATCTGCTTCTCCACTCACATAACTGGCACCCGGGCTGAGCAAACTGGAGGTCAGCTGTGATTGTCAGAGTACCTTCAAGGGGCCCCTCTGTATGTTGTGGGCTTTCCACAGCACACCAGCCTCAGGTAGTCAGATTTCTTACGATGGCTGAGAGTTCCAAAAGCAAGTTCCAACAGACAAGAGGTGAAATTTCATGGCCTTTTATGACCTAGCCTCTTAAGTCACATGTAATGTATCAAATAACTTTCATTGTATTCTCCTGGTCAAAACAGTCAGAAGCCCACACAGATTTAAGGGAAGAGTCTATCTTTTTGTGGATATTTTAAAACCACCACAAACATAATTACATAAAGACTAGACCAAGTGTATAAAATTCGTGCATGGGGGGGGGGGGGGGGGAGTGTGTGGAATCCCTTCAACCCAGCCTGAACTCTCTCCAATCCAGGATCCCTTGTGGGATGTCCAACTGCCTGTTTAGACCTGATCCCCAGGATCGGGCAGTTGGACATCACTCTCACAATCCTAGACTGCTGGCTCCTAATAGCTCATCTGCCTGTCTGCCTGGTTGCCCCTAACTGCCCGCCCCCGCCCTACCCCCCCCCCCCCCGCCGGCCTGATCACCCTCAACTGCCCCCTCCATGCTGACCTAGTCGCTCCTAACTACACCCCTCCCACCAGCCTGGTTGCCCCCAACTGCACCTCCCCACCCCCCACCCTTCTGGCCTGGTCGCCCCCCAACTATCCCCCTCTGCTGGCCTGGTCACCCCTCACTAAGCCCTCACACTGCCAGCCTGGTTGCCTCATATAACCTGCTGTTCAATCTTTTTTGATCATCCCTCACTAACGCTCCTGTCAGCCTGGATATAGGCAGCCATCTAGTGAGGGTGTAAGGGTCAATTTGCATATTACCTCTTTATTATATAGGAGGATATGGAGATACATGCCAAAGGGTTAACAATGCCCACCTCCTAGGCACACTCAAAGTGAATTTCATTACTTCTCATTTTAAGTCAGACTAATTGAAACGTATCTTCTATGGATGGCAAAATTCCATCTACCTATTTTTATGATACAATGACAAATCAATATAAACATAATTTTATCTACATAAATTGCATCAGGAATGTCTAATAGCTTGCTTTTGACCCCAGTACCATCTGCCAGTTACAACTGTTTCTTATTTTTAAAACACTATCAAGCTCAGATCCACCCTCAGGCTTAGGCTGTCATATCCATATAGAAACCACCTATAAAAGTAAAGCAGATAGATCAGGATCACACAAGCACTGTGGTTGCTGAGTTCAGTGGCTATTCCCTACCTCAGTGATTACTAGACTTCAAGGTTTCATAGGCCAAGAAAAGTTTCAGGAATAATAAAACAAATATGAACAAATAAAGTTACCAACTTTTATTCTCCAAAGAAAGGACATTTAGAAAATGACTATAATGTTCATCATAGAAAAGAAATGGAATGGACAATTTCAAGTTAAGCACACACCTTAAAAGTGAATAAGTTTGACTGACTAAAAAACTCACTGTATATATTTTTTTCATTTATCTGTTGATCTGCAGAAACTTAACCATAGATGAACCCCAGTTCACAAATTGATATGGGAACAACTTGTGCATCGGACATTCTGCCTCTTTCCTCTCTTACTTTATTCTAACAGTTCTAGAACTGTAGCTTGCTCATAGGAACTCAGTCTAAAAGGACAGATAAATAAGCAAAAAAATTATAACAATTGACTGGTCAGATAAGAGTGCTATAGCCCAGCCATGATGGCTCAGTGGTTGAGCATCCACCTAGCAACCAGGAGGTCACGGTTGATTCCTGGGCAGGGCGTATGCCCAGGTTTCAGGCTTGACCCCCAATGGAGGGCATGTGGGGCATGGAGAAGGCAGCCAATCAATGATTCTCTCTCATCATTAATGTTTTTAACTTTCTCCTCCCTCTCCTCTCTAAAATCAATTATATATATATATATATATATATATATATATATATTATTTTATTTTTTAAAGAGTGCTATTGGATACAGGGAGGGGGAATCAAAGAAGGTTTCACAAATCTGGCAAAAAAAAAAAAAGTTTACTTAGGAGAAAGAATATAGGTGGCAATGACTGTGGCTGAAAGCACAGACAGTCCACATGTGTAGTATATCCCAGGAAAACTATATTGTGTATCAAAAAAAGTAAATAGTAGTTATACTTAGTGATAGAGTAAGGGTTCCTCTTGTATTCTTTATTCTTATATTTTCTGCCATTTAACATCTGAGTATACATTCATGTGATCAAGAAATTTTTTAAAAAACAATTCCAATTTCGTAAAGGTTAGCTTAGGAAGAACAAACAAAAGGCCTCTGACTTAACCCGTTTGTATTGCAATACACCAGACTGTAATATGCAGATGTTAGATCTGGAAGAGGATACAGAAACCAAGCAACAAATGTTGGCTAGGACAGAGGACACCAGGGCAGTTGGCATTCCCTCGCTGCCTGTGAGAAGCCTCGGTTGGGTGTACTCCGTACAGGAGACTTCTTGTTCGTAAGGTCATTATAGTCAGAGATCCTCAGGTGGCAGGTGCTCTCTGACCAGTCAAGTGTTAAACTCCCAGCTCTACCACCACGCACTGGCTCAGAGAGCTCAGGCAAAGTCCTCAACCCCTCGAATCTGCATCCCCATCTGTAACGCGGACAACTAACTGCCTACCTTCTGGGATTTGTGTGCAGATGAACTGATAGGAAATAGATAAAGAACTCAGTACAGTGCTTGCCCCTCGGAAAATGACTATTATAACATGGCACACGTTTGTGATCAAGCAAATGGTAAATGGGCTCCTGAAGGCCTTTCTAAACGAATCGAGAAAGCTTGAAAAGCATAAAACTTGTCCGTTTGGAACGTCAACCTTTCGAAACTTAAATGGGTCGTGAGCTTTTACCCCCTGTTCCAAATGCAGGAAGGGTATTCGGCATTTGCAGTGCTTCTAAAAGGAAGCTGTCTTTGGAATGACCTTTCTGCGGGGTCCCCGAACACCAGAGTGGCCCAACCCGCTATGTTCGGGCCGCTGACAGAAAACAAGACAGAAGTCTCCCATTCTTTTCCTCTGACTTCTGCAGGGGGCTCCCCCGTCCTCTCCCACCGAGAGAATCCGATCTCTTTGGCGCAGAAGGAGGTTCAGGTCTAAGGTTGAACTGCCTCTTACCCAGGCTTTCTGAGAGCCGGAAGACAAGCCGGCGGGAGAAGGGAATACGCCGTTCCTCACGTGATCTCTGACAATTCTAGCAACTTCTATCCCCCCTGCCCTTCTTCCGAGCTTCTGATCTTGACACGCCTCCCTACAGCCCCGCCCCCCTCCGGCCCCTGGCCAATCGCAGAGTGCAAAGCGAACCGGATAGGGCGGGCCCCGCTTGGCACTTTGGACCAATCACCGATCACTTTGGACCGGAAGCCATGGTTTGTCCCTGGGTTCCGCCCTGGGAGGGTGGCCCCTGGGAGCAGGCCAGGCTATCGTGGGTGTGGAGAGTTTGAGTCTCCCCTTCCGTTTGTCTGAAAAAAAAAGGGCGCAGAGACCCCAGCGAGCCCGGAAGGTAGGAAGCTCGCCCCCCCCCGCCCCCCGAGGACGAAGCGCGTGGGCCGGCAGCTGCGAGGCAGAAGCAAGCTGTGTGCAGGGACCTTAGGAGCCGGTCCCGTTCGGCGCAGCCCTCCAGGCCATGGTGCAGGCAGAGCTCTGGGCGATCCCCAGGTGAGGGCGGCGGCTCCTCCGCCCGGGGTTCCCGCCGCGGGAGGACGGGGTAGATGCGGAGCGGGGAAGGAAGGATGCGGCCCGGCCCGCTCCCCGGGAGCACCCAGAGCGGCCGCCGACGCCGCACCTGCAGCAGACAACACAGCGCAGGCCGAGGCGGCGGCTCCCGCTGCTGGTAAAGTCGCCCGACAGCAGCTTCTCCGTAGTTTGCGAGTGGACAAAACAGCCAAAGAACAGGGCTCCCCATCGAAACCTCCCTTGAGCCCCTCTTCCTTGCTGCTCGGAGCTAATTTATGCGGAGACATGCCTTGCACGTGTACCTGGACGAACTGGAGGCTATGGATTCGACCTTTGGTGGCGGTCATCTACCTGGTGGTCATCATGGTCGCGGTTCCCCTTTCCGTGTGGGAATTGCAGAATCTGAAGGTAAGGGGACGGCACCCTCGGGCTCTAACCCTTCCTTCTACCTTCCTGCCCATCTTAGATTGCCCGTTTTTTACCCTGAATGCCCCAGACTTGATATCCCGAAAACCCTATCCTGTAAATGAGCCCAGTGTTAGGATATATAAGCCTGTCTATTTAGTTTTTCAAAGCATGACACAGCTGGAGGTAGGACCTGGTCAAGAACATAGTTAGGATGTATGAAGGTAGCTGCTGTGTAAAAAGAGCACGGCTTTGTCCTGCAAGTATTCATCAATTCCTTGAAAGTAAGGGGATTTTATTCCTTAAATCTGATCTGTTAAGATGTCGGACTTGATCGTATTAACTACCTTGAAAACCATGCATTGACTTTTATTAGCATTTAATTAGCTTCCTGACTTAGAAGATTCTAGTTGGCTTAACTTTGTTGTTTGTTTTTACTTTAGAAATTAACTCTTAACCAACAAAGGTTTTTCAAAAAGTCCCTTGTATATTTTTTGATGTCATATTCTTATTATGACATCAGTAAAGTACTACAAGCTGGAAGAACCCAAGGTAAATACTTAACTAAGATATGTGCTTTATAGAAATTGTATAATGAACTTTAAATTCTAAGTTTAAAACAACCAGAAAGTACTTTTAGTTAGAAACACCTATTTTATAAGACCTATGACAAGACCATGGCTGTTTGAGGTCTTCTATTTATATGTTTTGGGTTGATTTTTTGTTTTTGTTTTTCGACTACAGTTGACATTCAATATTGTATTAGTTTCAGGTGTACAGCATAGTAGGTAGATGTTTATATTGCTTACAAGGTGATCATCTCAATAAGCTTGCACCCATCTGACACCATACATAATTATTACACTATTATTGACTATATTCCATATGCTGTATCTTATATCCCCATGATTATTTTGTAATTGCCAACTTATACTTTTGTTGTTGTTATTGTTGTTTTAATCCTTACCAGAGGATATTTTCCCATTGATTTTGAGAGTGGAAGGGAAGGGGAGAGACAGAGAAAGAGACACATCGATGTAAGAGAGACACATCCATTGGCTGCCTCCTGCACACTGGACCAGGGCCAGGGAACAAGCCTGCAACCCAACTTGTATTTCTTCATACCTTCCATTGGAGGCCTTTAGTTGTGGGAATGATTTTCACATAAGTACACAAAATTATTTAATATCCATTTGTTCTGCATGTTCACAAATTATTTTTGTTTCTTTTCCCATACTGGCATAGTCCATATAGTTATTTTTATTTATTTTATTTTTTTTAAATTTTATTGATTTTTTTTACAGAGAGGAAGGAAGGGAGAGAGAGAGAGAGAGAGAGAGAGAGAGAGAGAGAGAGAGAGAGAGTTAGAAACATCGATGAGAGAGAGACATCGACCAGCTGCCTCCTGCATGCCCCGTACTAGGGATGTGCCCACAACCAAGGTACATGCCCTTGACCGGAATGGAACCTGGGACCTTTCAGTTCGCAGGCCAGCACTCTATCCACTGAGCCAAACCGGTTTCGGCTATTTTTTTTTAAATAATATTTTTATTTATTGATTTCAGAGAGGAAAGGAGAAGGAAAGAGAAATGGAAACGTCAATGATGAGAGAAAATCATTGATCAGCTGCCTCCTGCATGCCCCCCACTGGGGATCGAGCCCGCAACTCAGGTATATTCCCTTGACTGGAATCGAACCCAGGACCCTTCAATCTGCAGGCTGACGCTCTGTCCACTGAGCCAAACCAGCCAGGGCCATATAGTTATTTTTAATATTAATACCCCATTCAACCACATTAAATATGTCCTATTTGTTGGCTATTTAGGTTTTCCCATAATTTGTTTACTGAAGACATCTTAATACCAATGGGGATTTTTCTACTTTGAAGTATTTGGAGTATGGTATAGGAAATACTTTTATGGTTAATGATATGCATAGTAGCAATCTGTTTTAAGACTTCTCAGTTGTTGGTTTTAACTAGTTTTTTAAGTGCCAGCTTTTAAGGAAAATTTTAATCTGCAGTCTCCACTGCTTCTTATCATGTTTTGCCTGGACTATTCTCAACACACCAGCAAAAGTCTTGGGTTAAAATTAGCCCTAACAGTTTGGCTCAGGGGATAGAGGGTCAGCCTATAGGTCTCAGGTTCTATTCTGGTCAAGGGCATGTACCTTGGTTGGGGGTACATACCCAGTATGTGCAGGAGGCAGCTTATCGATGGGGATTAGGTTTCTCTCTCATCGATGTTTCTGACTCTCTATCCCTTCCTTTCTGTAAAAAATCAATAAATTTAAAAAAAAAAAAAAAAAAACATTAAAATTACACTATGTGTGTCCTCTTTTCAAAATTTTCCAGTCACTCCTAGTCCCAGATTAAAAGTCATTATCCCACTCTGGCCAGTTTGGCTCAGTGGATGATGGAGCGTTGGCCTGTGGACTGAGGAGTCCCAGGTTCATTTCAGGTCAGGCGCATGTGCCTTAGTTGTGGTGGGTGTGCAGAAGGCAGCTGATCGATGTTTTTCTCTCATCAATGTTTCTGACTCTCTGTTCCTCTCTCTTCCTCTCTGTGAGAAAATCAGTGAAATGTTTAAAAAAAAAAAAAGTTAGTATCCCTAACTATGGCCATTAAGGCCCTATGTGACCTGACACCAACTTCATTCCATCCCCCTGTGACTTTTCTCAATTCATGAGTTCTTACCAAAGTCTTGCTCAGTCACGAGGATGAGCATGCACCCTCTTTAAGGCCATTGCACTAATGGGAGTTGTCTGAACTGAGATGGTGTTTAAAGCCATAAAGATGAATGTCATTGTAAGGAAGAAGAACAGGCCAAGGACCTAGCACCAAGAGTTAGAGATCACATAGAAGAACAGGAACTTAAAAAAACAAGTAGCAACCAGAGGGGAAGTGCAGTGCTAGGAAAGGTGTGTTTCGGTGTTGTGGAGCCATCATTAACTTTCACAAGATAGAAATATAATTTTATAGTGACCCTGATAGTGGTTCAACGGAAATATAATGGCTGAAACTAGAGAGAATTGTTTGAAAAATGGATGTGGTGGGGTAAAGAAGTGGAATCAAGATATGAAGACAAGTTTTGTTCATTTTTGTTTTGTGTATTTTGACTCCCAAGGGGACCAGGAAATGAATGGCATAGTAGATAGGGGTGTGGAATTAGGAGAGCAGGGTTTCTTTTTCTCATTGTGTTTTGGTTTTTAAGATTCTAAACACTTGGCTATATCATGTTCCCAATATTTGGTATAATTTTTTATTTAACATTCTTAATAACTTGGAAGCATAGGTATTATCTTTATCCTATAGAAATGAAAACCAAGATAAGTGGCTAACGTGACATTGTGGTAAAGTGCTCTCTACAAATTTTAATTACCTTTATCATTCTCATCATTATTCACTAAATGAGTTTGTGTATCCAAAACGCTTAACATTCTGCTCAGCACATAGTAGGTGCTCAATAAGTCCTAATTACCACAGTTGTTTTTTAAAATAGCATCACTGTTCTTGCATTGGAGCAGCAATTCTTTTTCTTCTGGAGTAACACCTCAATGGGGATTAGGTTCTCAATTGAACATCTAAGGCAAAGTTGTAGCATCTGCCTGAGCCCCAGATAAAGTAGTTGATATTTTTGTATAAAAATACATGTCTTTTAAACACTAGAATCACAGTGCTTACACTGAAATTGATGGGAACTGAGATTGTAGAAAACGGGAGGTTCCTAAAGATGGTCACATGGCCATGGTAGGGCGCACACATTTTTTGGAATGGCCAAGATGACCATCTGATCTATTTAAGCTATTTCTTTCACTCTCTTACTTGGCCAAGTATGTGTACTTGAAGTCAAGTAAATTAAATGCACAAAAGTCACGATGCTCTGCAGTCATTTTACCCTGCGCCCTGGTCTAAATGCCCCGTAGCTACCTTCTATATTAGTGTTTCTCTCTTCCCCTCAGGAGGATTGGGGAAAATGCTCTCCTATTCCTCTGTACTCCACTTTGAAAGCATTCCACTGAGGGACAATTATCTCACTCCTAGATGCTCATCTTTAATGGTCTTTCCTCTCTATTTTCTTCAAACCTTAGTGTGGGGGGAGGGTAAGGGGGGATTTCCGCTGCTTATCTCTCTCCCTTGTTTTGTGAGCCAGGAAACCCTACTCGTGGCTGAGAAATGTAATAATGTTAATGGTACCCTATATCAGCATGTCTCAAGTGTGCATAATTCAGAGATAAATGTAAATTAAATTAAAGTCAATGTAATAATTGTATTAGTTTCTACAGATACCTAGAGTTGACTTATTTTATTATGTTGCTTAAATATGCATCAAAGAATTTAAATTTCTTATACATATGACTTTTCATATAGTTCAAAAATTACAACAACTGTAAAACCAGTGATTCATATTAATGGCATCAATGTGTACAGATGAAACTCAACTGCCACTGGCAATGTAAAAATGGTACTAACTCCATGATGCAAGATATTTTAAATCTGTCATCACTATACTGAAATGACTCAATTATCTAGTCACTTCTTTTCTGATCATTTGAAAAAGAACTCTTTCCCTTACAGCACACTGAGGTCACTTTGGCTTATTAGTCACAGACGACACATCATTTTTCTCATATCTACTACCAATTCTACTTTTTGGCAATCATAAAGACAACTGTGGGCATTAAAATTATGTGGCAATACTGTTCCTAATGATCATCTTATAATAGAAAAGATCTAAAATGTGCTTTTATTTTTATTATGACTTTATGTCATCACTAACATGAGTACTCACTTTTAAATGGCATTTAATCAAGCAGAAATCCCTGGAATATAATTGCTCAGACAATCCTTTCAGAATCTTTAAATCCACATGTTTGCCTTTCACTTATTTGCTTTGAGTAATCTCCAGCATTCAGTAAGGCTTTCATATTTGCTTTTCAAGTTCTCCATACAGTTTAATGTAGGAATTTATTGTTATAAAATATATTTGTACTCTTTTGTTTTCTGCTTCGTTAATCTTTGACCTCCTTTTTCTCTTCAAAACTGTAAAACTAGAAGTTATGGACTTGAATTCTATTTTAATTAACTGTTTAAATTCCTCAAGTTCCAAAAATAAATGCCCACCTTTTTTCCTTTAAAAAGTTAGCATTTGCTTTAAGGCAAGAGTCCAAGTTAGTATAAAATTCATTCTCAAGTGCACCTCAGGTAGAACAGAGGTTCACATAAATTTGTTTTTATCAAAAAGTATGTGCCTTACTGCAACTCTCCCTAGGATGAGATAATTCAAAGTATATTTTTAGAAGTTAAGCTTTTACAGGATAGAATATTGATCAAATATTGACCTAAAAGAGAAATTAGAGCTTTTTTGAGTGTAATATCCCAAGTTGATATTGTTATATATAAAAGCGATAGCATATATTAATACAGTTTACTTGAACAATAGTTGTTGCATTATTTATCAAACAGGAGGGTTAAAAGACTTAATGCATGTTAGAGTGCCTGATATAGTCAGCATTCAGTAAATGTTGTGTAACAGAATTTGCAGAAAATGTAGGTAGGTTTTTAACTTTCTAGATATAAAAGCATAGGAATAAACCATATAAAGCTTTTCAGATTTGAGTTGTGTAGAAAATTTGAAAACTCTGTATATCTCCAAACACAATAATCAACTCTAAAGGCCAAATCAGCTGAGGGAAAATGAAATGATATTAACAGTGTTAATGTACACAACACTATTACAAAAGGCCCCAGGAGGAAAAATGCTCAATCCCATGAGGAAAATTCTGCCCCCTCCCTCTACAAAAGTAAGAATAGGCTGCTTATTAAAGAATATATAAGAAATGGCTACTAGTCATTTGGAAAATATTAAGCCCCATTAATAATTAAATAAATGGAAATTTAAAAATAAAAATATTTAGTTTTTAATATCAGAGCATTTATACCAGCGTTTCTTCTGCTTCTTAAGGTTGGAATACACACCAAGGCTTGGTTTATTGCTGGAATATTTTTGTTGTTGACTATACCTATATCACTATGGGGGATATTGCAACATTTAGTGCATTATACACAACCTGAACTACAGAAACCAATAATAAGGTAAATCTTAACATATTTTGAATCTACTGTATTAGTGTTGTTGTTGGCTTACTTCATAAATATAATGTAAAATGTTTTTATGTTTTGCTCTTCAAATAGGATTCTTTGGATGGTACCCATATACAGTTTAGATAGTGTAAGTATGTTTCATTTTATCTCTTAACTAAGGACTTTTTTGAAGATACTAACTATACTTGCAGAATGCTTAAAATAATTAAAGTATTTGAAAGTAAGAATCAAATGAAGAAAAGTGAAAAGGTTCACTTCTTTTCAATGTTGATAAAGAAGGTCAAGTACGACAATAGAAAAGGCAGATATTTAACATTTTTAAAAATCTATAGCTGTTCACCATCTCCCCTGAGCATGCCCTCACCTTTCCCCTCCCCCCTTCTTCCTCCTGCCCCCAGATCCATTCTCTCACCTTTCCCCTTCCCCCTTCTTCCTCCTGCCCCCAGATCCATGCTCTCACCTTTCCCCTCCCCCCTTCTTTCTCCTGCCCCCAGATCCATGCTCTCACCTTTCCCCTCCCCCCTTCTTCCTCCTGCCCCCAGATCCATTCTCTCCTGAGCCCATTTCTTCCACCACTCACTCCTACTGTGATGATTTTCTAAATAAACATTCTCTTATTTAAAAAAAAGAACAAAAAAAAAACTATAGTTGTTTTCTTTGCTTGATCTTTTAAGATTTCAGACTAGTAGCTCTTAGCCCTAAAAGAATGCAATGTTTAAATTGATATCATCATCCTTTTTACTTACTAAATCTTTTATTTCAACAACAATAAAAAAACCTTCTCAATGGATCCCAGCACAGTTTTTACAGGTGACTGCTTTAATTTGATTCAATATAAAGGAAGTGTTTTTCACAGCATTTGCTATGATCATGTCAAGAAAATTTTCAGGTTTTATTTAAAAACCCAAGTGAATGTAATTTAGCTTCTTTCTTCATATTCATTATTTACCCCCAAACATGGATGTTTTCATTTACCAATATCCAAAATGTTTACTTCTTTTAGAAATTCATCTCACAGATTGTCTGGTAACCCTTATAATAATAAATTTTCAAAAATTTGACGTCAATCTGTGGCAAGTACAAAAATTAGTTTATTATGGATATGAATTGGAGTGGTAATTCATTGTATCTTAGCTGAAACTATTTTTAACATCTGTGCTTTTTTTTTTTATATATATATATAGTGGGTAGCTTTGAAATATCCCAGCATTGCAATATACGTGGATACCTGCAGAGAATGTTATGAAGCTTATGTCATTTACAACTTTATGGGATTCCTTACCAATTATCTAACAAACCGGTATCCGAATCTGGTATTAATCCTGGAAGCCAAAGATCAACAGAAACATATCCCTCCTTTATGTTGCTGTCCACCATGGACTATGGGAGAGTAAGTATGCCTTGTTTTAGTTCTTTTATGTTTTGGTTTTATTTAAGCTGTCATTTCTCTGCAAAGCTGTGTTACGTACCATGAGCAGTACAAAGTAATCTGAGTCCCTAACCTTGGTAGTTCATAGTCAAGTTTGAAGACTAAAACAACACATTTTTATAATCTACACATGGTTAGTTTCTTTTACATAATTCATTCTAAATAGAAAACTTAAAATATTGTGGGTATAAACCTTAGAAATCATTTCATTAACCCCCTTTACAATTGGAAACCAGGGTCTGCAGAAATTTACTCAAGATGATAAAGCTAGTTAATGACAAAATCAAATGTTTTTTTTTATATCTAGTGAAAGGATCATGGTTTTTTGCCTTAAACCTAATGTAGTGAATTGGGTTTGTGAATTTTCTAAAATTAAAAAACTTGCTTTCAAGGATAAATGTAAAGTGATTATGATGTATCATCTGTTTTCCTATAAGATTTGGTTTGCCAATATTTTGTTTAGAATTTTTACATGAGTAAAATTGAACTACTAGTTTCCTTTCTTATACCTTTCCTGCTTGGTTTTGATATCCAGGCTATAATGCTTGAATAGGAATTACTGCCTTTTATTTGTGTACTAGAGGCCTGGTGCACGAAATTTGTGCACTGGGTGTGGTGGGGAGGTGGGAGCAGTCCTCAATCCAGCCCGTGTCCTCTCGCAATCCCGGAGCCCTTGGGAGATGTCTGACTGATGGGGAGTGGGCCTAAGCTGTCAGTTGGAAATCCTTAGTGCTGTAGCGGAGGCAGGAGAGGCTTCCACTACAGCCGCTGGGCTCACCAGCCATGACTCCAGCTCAGGGCTTCTGGCTGAGCAGCGTTCCCTCTGTGGGAACGTACTGACCACCAGGGGGCAGCTCCTGCATTGAGCCTCTATCCTCTGGTGGTTGGTCAGTGCACATCATAGGGACAGTCAGAGGAACAGATAGTTCCTCCATTTGGTCAATTTGCATATTAGCCTTTTATTTATATATAGGATTACAAAAAGAGATTGTGACCTATACCTTGAAAGATTAGGCCTGGACTTTTCGTTGTGGGTTGACATTATAGAACTAGGCATACTTCCTGTTGTTTCTGGAATCCTGTGTGTGTGCGCGTGCATTTAATTATAGTTTTTAGATAAAGTTTAAAATATATGGGCATACATTAGTTTATAACTTCATCTCTTTTGGATCTATTGTTCTGACTCCTATGTTATGACTTATGTTATTGTCATAACATAGATCTTATGTTATAATTAAGATCTATGTTGTTAGTATCTTTATCTTTTTCTTGAAAAAGTCTTGCCGAAGTTCCCCTAGTTTTCTCAAGGACTGATTTTTTTGTTTTGTTGAGTCTCTCTAGAATATATTTGTTTTCTATTTCATTATTTTTGCCCTGTTTTTTTCTTTTTAATTTCTTTTGGTTTACTTCATTCTTTTTCTAACATACTAGAACCTTAGCTTTTTAATTTATAGCCTTACTTCCTTTTTTTAACATACATTTGAAACTATACACTTCATTTTAAATTCTACATTCACTCCTTGCATCTCAGTTCTTCATCTGTCTAAAATCACTTCCTCAAAAGTATTTTAAAAGTTTCTTTAGTTTTAGACTTATCCAAAGTATCTTTATTTTGTCCTCATTCTTGAAAGATTGTTTTGCTGGATGTAGTTCTTATGTTGATAGGAATTTTCTCCGAGTATTTTGAAGAGTTTATTCCATCTGATTCTGGCTTCAGTTTTTACTGTTAACCCTCGACTGTCAGTCTACTTGTCTTTCCATTATAGGTGACCTGTCTCCCAACTGCGTTTTAGACCTTATCTGTCTGTGATGTTTTGCAGTTTATGAAGTATCTAGTTTTTTTTGTTTTATTTTTAGTCCTGCTTAATTTACAGTGTGCCTCAAACTTGTAAATTCATGTTTTTCATCAGTTTTGAAAAGTTCTCAGCCATAATTTTTTTCTGATGTTGCCTTTACTCTACTCAGTCTTTTGTAACTGATTATATGTTAGAATTGATTCTATTTCATTCTTTGCAACTCATTCACATTGTCTCTTTGTCTCACCAATTATTTCAGATAAATCTTATAGTTCATTAATTCTCCACAGCTTTCAGTGGTATCTAATTGGCTATTTAATCAATCTCTGTAGTCACCCTTCATGGTCTCAGGTTTGGTGTGGCACTCAACTCATAGAATACTATAGGCTCAAGCTTTGTAAAGCTTATGGGACAGGAAGCACACCACATACAGCCAAAGGATGCTCATCAAGAGATCTTACAACAAGTCCAAGTACAATTCCTAGACACCACAGGGAGCATGCTTGCTTGTAAGTGTGAGTGAACCACCTCAGCACAGGGAAGGCTCTCCGCACACACAACGCCAAGTTATTCAGACCTAGTAACATAGCATCTGAAGGTCTACATACCAGGCTCACAATATTCTCATTCTAGATGTAATTCTTAAGTTAGGGAATTCATAATACATGACAGTGATAACTATTTTTCCTGATAGGAGTGTTAAATAAGCATTTGTTCTCAAATCCACTTGGTCTTTTAAGACTTACACAAGGCTCTCAGGTGGAAAGTCTTTTTTTGGTAGTTGATTTGGGACTTTTTTGTTTTTGTTTGTTATTGCTTATGAAATTTCCTATGTATTTGAGTGATGCTAGCAATAGAATAAAAACTGTTTATATAGGATTTTTATTTCGTCCTTTCAGAGTACCTAGTCATTGATAGTCTCTGGAGTGCCACTTAACTACCAAACTTGAAAGGAAACTGAATCCTAAAATGTAAATATTTCCTAACTTGCATGTGTGCATGCTTTCACATACGCATACACACACACACACAATTCATTTGTTAGTTTTCCTTCCAGAAACACACAGACCCATGTTTTTTCTTTTGATCTGTGCATCACTAATTTGACACTATACACAAGGGTCCTGCAGAAAATGAAGTTGTCAAATAATTTTAAAAATAGTATTTAAATAATTTGTTTGCTACCACACACATTCCTCCCCAGTCGCCATTTAGAATGACTAAGTTAAAAGAATTAAATACAAATATGGCATCATTTGTTAAAGTGATTATAATTTGGGAGCTTTGGAGAAAATCTGGTACTATTTAAATGAGTAGCTGAAAATATTAAGTTCTTTTTCTTTGGCAGAGTATTGCTGTTTAGGTGCAAATTGGGTGTATTGCAGTATACAGTTGTCAGACCATTCACCACCATCATTGCTTTGTAAGTACATAGAGCTTATATTATAGTTTATTTTTTTCCAAATCCTCATGCTCTTATGTGGTACAACTGAGTAGAAAAACATAAGGAATGTTAATTTACTTCTTTATAACACAGGTGTAGTCTTACTGAAAAAAACACAATATATAAAAACCCAACTATATGAAATCAGGTGACCATTTATAGGCAAAGATTTGCCACAGAGTTCTTCTAAATAACATTCTCTCTAGAACTTTCCAGAAATCATTGAAAAAATACATGCTTTTTTAAATACTAGTTCACACAGCTTTACAGAAACATTTATTACATGAAGTTAAAGTATGCTACTTAAGATTCATTGCATGGTTTTATTTTCTAAATAGTTAAGTTAGAATATGAACACTATATTCTAAGGAAGAAGTCATATTTTTATTTTTTAATAATTCAGTCAAGGCTTAGCACTTGAGGTAAAATTAAGCTACCTGGTGGTAATTAATCCCTAAAAATTTAAAAACATCAAATAATGTAAAGCAAGTATATTACATGTTTTATCTGCTAGTCATTAACATTCTGCATGGTTACAGAGGAAGAAAGGGAAGACAAAGGAGAAAAATATTCAATTCTTTATTCTACCTTTGAGCTAGCAATTTTTAGTGATATTTAACTTGGAGTTCAGACTAATTCACTTATTTATGAAGGTATGCTTTATTTTCTGCAGTTTAGAAACGAGGTAATCATATAAGTTAAAACTTAGGTGTGGGTCTTCATAAAATTTACCTCCAAGCCCTGGCCTGTGTGGCTCAGTTGGTTGGGCATCATCCCGTGCGCCAAAAAGGTAGCCGGTTTGATTCCCGAACAGGGCAGATGCCCAGGTTGTGGGCTCAATCACTGGTAGGGCATGCAGGAGATAGCTCATCCATGTTACACTCTCATATTAATGTTTCTCTCTTTTCCCTTCTCTAAAAATCAATAAACTATTCTTTTAAAAAAAAAAAATTACAATTTGGGTGAAAACGTTAGAGTTGTACTTACAGACCTACATTTTATAACAATCGAGCTTTTGAAAACAAGGCAGCATAATTTTTTTTGAATCTATATATAACTAACCTTTCCAGTTCATTGTATCTTACTTTGGATTTACTTCAAGTTGGAGGTACAGTCATGTAACATTTATAGAAAAAAAATTTTTTTAACCACCTCTATGATAAAATCAAGTAATTATCTATAGAATCTTTTAAATAAACTGACTTCTAAATGTAAGTATTGCTGTCTATGCTATTTTTATTAGTTAATCATAAATTTGTCTTATTTTTATCATATTTAGAATCTGTGAGCTGCTTGGTGTATATGATGAAGGCAATTTCAGTTTTTCAAATGCTTGGACTTACTTGGTTATTATAAACAATATGTCACAATTAGTAAGTACACATTCTAACTGTACTAACTTAGTATTTATAACTCTAGATTCTTAGGGAAAGTTTTTTTGGGAATAAGTTTTGTTACTTTTTTATCTTGAAATTAGATTTATAGGAAGAATTTCAAGAAACTGTAACCTATCTTTATTACATATATAAAGGTATAATATCTTTGTTAATTACTTGGTGACTTATATCTTAACCTGCCATCATGTTTGTTCATTGGTTCTGGGTACTTATTGCACAATTTGTGGATATGTCATAAATAAAAGCACAATTCCCTCCCTTAAAAAAAAAATATTCTAGGCATATTCAGTAAGATTCTTTCACATATTTGGAATTAAAAACAAATTGAGAATGCTAAGTTTAAAAAAGTTATGTTCTAGATACTGAATTGCTCAAATATATAATTATCTGATTCTTTCAACTTAATGTACACTTTATTTAAAATATTTTAATACTTTCAGCAAAATAATAATTTAGATTATGTGGCATTCATGTTGGTTTTAGCCTTGGCTGTGTAGCTCAGTTGATTAGAAAGTCATCCCAATATACCTAGGTTGCAGATTCAGTCCCAAGTCAGGCCACATACAAGCAACAACTAATGGGTGCATGGATAGATTTGAAACAAGTCAATGTTTCTCTCTCCCTCTAAAAATAAATAAAAATTAAAAAAAAAATTTTTTTTTTAAACCAAATGCCTGTGTATTCAAAGCTTTCTCATGTGTTTATATTCTTTGGGACCAGTAATTCCATTTCTGGGAATGCATCCTCAAGTAATGGCCAGAAGTACTTAAGCTTTGATTGTCATGGTATATAGAGGCCTGGTGCATAGGGCGGTTGAGTGTCCCTCAGCTTAGCCTGTGCCCTCTTGCAATCTGGGACTCTACCCTTGTTTGTAAGAGCAAAAGAGTGAAAACAATCCTAAACCCAGTGTTGGGGACTGGTGAAATATACTACGATCCTTCCACTGGCCAAAATATTTGGCAGTTATTAAAAATAATGTTCATGAAACTTATGGAAAGTAAGGTTAAGGGGGGGATAATCAGGCAACAAAATTTTGTTTTTAGTTGATGATGCCTGTTAAAAACCATTTTAGTTGGATTATGGGCCTATGAGCAACTTAATTCATTACTGCTTTGATATTCTAAATATCTTAAGTGAACATTTTATTTTAATGGAAAAAGTAAACTTTTAGAAAAATGTTTACTGCTATGCAACACTACATTAGGTCATTACAACTAATTTTTTTTTCAATATTTAAGTCTTGAGCATTTATTATATAAAAGTAAATTCAGCTGGATTAATATATTGCCCTCAAGAAAAATTATCTCCTGATTCCTTGCTTTCAGATATCATGGTTACAGTTTTATTGAAAAGTATTTTTTTAATATGACTTATAATGAATAGCTCAACTCCTGTAAAATTAGTGATAATTGATAAGCAGATAATGTTTTAATTTCTTCTATGCATGGCCATGATTTGTTCCTTGTTTCTGGGCCCAAATCAGTGAAATGCTTAAAACCATTTTCAGGGGAAATGTTATATATCTCTTCTGAGAAATTTCATATCATGTATATTCATCCACAGTAAACTACAAAAGCTTATTGTTCTAAAACCATAATAAAGTCTAGAAAAATTTGCATGAAACCTTACTATGTACCAGGTCTCTGCTTTATACTTTAATATTTCTATTACCATATTTAGTTATTCTTAATGAAGAAGTTTAATTTTTAATCTTGTTTCTAGTTTGCCATGTACTGTCTACTGCTGTTTTATAAAGTACTGAAGGAAGAACTGAGTCCAATACAGCCTGTTGGCAAGTTTCTTTGTGTAAAGCTGGTGGTTTTTGTTTCTTTTTGGTAAGTATTACTTTATGTTAAACTAGAGGCCCAGTGCACAAGAATTTGTGCACTGGAGCGGGGAGGGTCCCTCAGCCCAGCCTGTCCTCTCGCAGTCCAGGGTCCCTCGGGGAATGTCCACCTACTGGCTTAGGCCCGTTCTCCAGGGGACCGAGCCTAAGTTGACAGACATCCCTCTGAGAGCCCAGGAGCCCTCAGGGGATGTCCGACTGCGGCTTAGGCCCGCTTCTTGGGGAGCAGACCTAAGCCTCAGACATCCATAGCGCTGCCGAGGAGACGGGAGAGGCTCCTGCCGCTGCGCTCAGTCAGCCGGCTTATGGCTAAGCAGAGATCCCCCTGTGGGAGAGCACTGACCACCAGTGGGGGGCAGCTCCTGCATTGAGCTGGGGGGGATCAGTTTGTGTCATAGCGACCAGTCGTTCCTAGATCCTAGTTGTTCTGCCGTTAGGGTCAATTTGCATATTACCCTTTTATTATATAAGATGTTTTCATTTCATAAGGACAATAAAACTGTTGACTAGGGGGGATTTTTAAAATAGTTTTAATATAGAGGATGAATTAAAATGTCTCTAATTACCTTTTTAAAAGTTCATCCTTTTAGCCTTTCTTGGTTTTTCATAAGGAAATAATCAGATGGCCACTGTAACATTTATAAGAAGAAAATAACTTGAGCCAGGCCAGTGATGGTTCAAGTCACTAGTTCTATTACTGGTCAGGGCACATGTCCGGGTTGCGGGCTCCCTCCCCAGTAGGGGTGGAGGAGTTGTGCAGGAAGCAGCCAACCCATGTGTCTCTCTCATTGAAGTTATTGATGTATCTATTTTGATCTTCCCTTTGTTAATCTCTCTTCCTCTCCAAAAATTAATTTAAAAAAAAAAAAAACATTTTAAAAATTAAAAAAAAAATACTTTGAAACAACCTAAATGTCTCAACACTAAAGGAATCATTAAAATAAATCATGGTGTTTTCACATAAGAAAATACTTTGTAGTTTGCAGTAAAATAGAATATTTAATAATGTGATAAAATATTAGTAGGAGAGGGCATGAGTGGGGGTTGGGGGGCAATAATAGAATAAAGATACCTATGTAATACCTTAATCAATAAAGAAAAAAATAATTTTAAAAAATTTTTAAAGGCAGGTCCTGGTCATTGGGTTCAGTGGTTAGAGCAGTGCTTTCCACCATGGGGCAAATGCCCCACAGGGGGGCAATTTAATTTTTAAGGGGCGCCCTTTTTTGGTGCACAGGCTGATACTCTAACCACCTAGCACACCAGCCAGGGCTACCTTTTATTTCATTTTAAGTGCCTATTGTACAGTGTGTTAGATATTATCTATGTATAGGAAGAACTTAAGTCTAAGCTCACACACTTTCAAAACAAAAAGATATAAACTAAGCAGTGAAGTTCCAAGAATATATAGTAATTCAAATGCATGTGATGAAATTCTACTAGAAGAGTAAATTTGTAAATCAAGTAAGTATATTTAATATAGACACACAGTGTCTTCAAGAATATGCTGTGAAGGCAGGGTGTAGTGGTGGTGGTGTGGTCCATAGGTAGTGCTGGGGTTTAACTTTAAAATGGCGTATTTTTAAAACAATTGCTTATTTTATGCTTGATATAGATTTGGCATTTACCTTTTCCTAACATATAGGCAAGCTGCAGTTATTGCTTTGTTGGTAAAAGTTGGCGTTATTTCTGAAACACACACATGGGAATGGCGAACTGTAGAAGCTGTGGCTACAGGCCTCCAGGTAAGTAGTGCTTTCTCTGAATTCAATAGAACTTGACTATTAAATGTGCTTATGTAAAACATTTTTCTTCTAAACCTGACAATGTGCAGGCTATGGGACTACTGTTATCCTCACTTTACAGGTGAAATGGAGGAAGCCTAGAAAAATTGGTCATTAATTACTAATTTATAGAGCCAAGAATACAACCTAGATTTTGTTATTCCTAGTCAATTTATCTTTCTGCACTTCTTCTCTTAGTTCTTGAACAGTGGATTGAGCTTTCGATGTACTTTGCTAAGAAATACTTGACTAAGTAATGCAAAATACATGTAAATTTTTGGCTTTTTTTTTTTTTTTGAGGTAAAAAAATTACAATTTTGGAAAATGATTATACTTATGAGAAAAACCGCAGCTATTGATACCTAAGTACTTTTGAAGAAGTGTTTTTTGAAAAGGTAGTGTTTTCCCTTTACCTACAAAACTAGATTTAAACCAAAGATGACTGATTTTTTTGTTGTAGGACTTTATTATTTGTATTGAGATGTTCCTGGCTGCTATTGCTCATCACTACACTTTCTCATATAAACCATATGTCCAAGAAGCAGAAGAAGGCTCATGCTTTGATTCCTTTCTTGCTATGTGGGATGTTTCAGACATTAGGGATGATATTTCTGAACAAGTAAGGCATGTTGGTAAGTACCAGTCATTGAATTTATCCAAATAGGTAACTTTTGTAAGGGCAATTTAGTAGCTATTTACCATAAGAGATTAAAAGACTTTGTTTAAAGCAGTACCACAATAAGGCTCTTCAAATAGGGAGGAGGGTAGGGGAGCTTATTTTTAGCATACAAATTTATAAAGGTAAAATACGAATACTTACTCTTTGGCTAATTTGGAAACCTTATATTACCTTAAAGGAAGGACAGTCATGGGACATCCTAGGAAAAAATTTTTTCCCGAGGATCAAGATCAAAATGAACATACAAGCTTGTTATCATCATCATCACAAGATGCAATTTCTGTCACCTCTTCTGTGCCGCCTTCCCCCATGGGTCACTATCAAGGGTTTGGACGTACTTTGACTCCCCAGACTACCCTTACTGTAGCTGATGTATCTGATGAAATATATAATGATACTACAGAAGAGAAAAGCGAACCTTCAGATAAACCCGTGGTCTCCTGAACAGTGTGTGAACACAGACTGCACTACTATTACCATGTTACTTCAATACCTGGTATCACATTGCTCAGGATTTTGTGCTTGGGACAAGCCATAAATGATGGAACATTGCAACACAAAGATAGGCGGAGGCCAGGTACTACTGGTTTTATATAACTAAATTTTATATGTCACAAATAACCAGTCTAAATATCTTAGACTTAGACTCTAAGATTTCTTCACATTAGAGTATTGCATACTCAAATGGTAGAAAATGACTATACTAAAAGTTCTTGATGTTACATGCTTTATCAAGAGGATGGTCATAAAAAAAATAATAATCAATGCTTCCTACCGCTGCTGCATGAAAATAATGCTTTGGGATTAGCAGAAAGTATAATTCAGAAATATGAATTAGTGGAACATAATCATAATCATGTGCCATATATTTCTCAACTGGATGTCTTTCAATAAATAATAATTTATCATTTATTTTCTGCAACTTTGTCTCTCATTCTTTAAACAGAAATCATTCATGTTTTAACAAAAAGGTCTTGATTAGAGAGGCATAGCATAAAATAATAAAGTCCAGAAAAATTAAGGGTTAAAAATTATATGCCTACAATGAAAGATACCTAGTTCTTATATTCCTATTAGGATAAATAGCTCAGACCTAATATTCTTAAAATAACTATCTAAAAATCATTTGCATTAACTCTAATAGATAAATGTTATCTGTAACTTTGAGATAAAAAAATAAACTGGATTGAAGACTGGAAGAATAAATAAGAAACTTGTAGTAAAAAAGGAGTCTACTTTTCCTCAGTGTTATTAAAGGTGTCAGCTAATGTAAACCCGTAAACCACAGTCAGAAGACATGGGGGTGCTATTTGTGAATCATTACTTGGGATGGAGTTTCTGAGTTATATTTAACATTTTATACCACAAATGAAATATAGAAAATACCATAGTAGTGTGTTGCAAATAGCAACGGTATTATTTATCAAAACCCTTACTTCACATACTTATACACACACACATATAAGTGTTCACAGTAATTACATACAAAGTCTTTATTGTGTCCACTATTATAAACTAAACATTTCTATTGAAAGTAAAGCTAGGTAGTATAATATTAGAGATAATGAGAATAGGTAGTGTGGAAAGAAGGTACATCTTATTTTCTTTGAGGCTTAGTTACAAATAGCACATGGTATATACACAGCATAATCACCTTATTAACCTACTTCAAGTCTTTAAAAATTGGGTCAATTATTATATATTTCTTACTATGCATCCAAATCAAAACTTTGAAAAATACTGGTTTAGGTTTAATTTTCTTGAATTTATCGTTTTCATTTTTTCTTTGCGAAAGCATACCAGGAAAAATGCTGTCTCCTTAAGATTTTATTTCTTTCCTAACTCTTACTCTTAATTACATTTAGCATAGAGTTTAAGTTCTTTTTGCATTCCCAAAACACAAAACGTAAGAAGTTATTTCAGAAGTGCACCCAGTATTTAAAAGAAGCAAGCTTGTAATTTATAAGTAATCATAGCCTTCAGTCTTCAGTGGAAGCCAACTTTTTGATGTTTCCAATTATAAGTTTGGACTTAAGGAAAAAAGCCAAGATAATTAAATATTTATTCAAAGTTTTGCTTTATTTTCTAAAACATGAAAATAAAGCCCTGCCTGGTTTGGCTCAGTGGATAGTGTCAGCCTGCAGACTGAAGGGTTCCAGGTTCGATTCTGGCCAAGGGCACAGAATCCCCAGTGGGGGGCGTGCAGGAGGCAGCCAATCGATTCTAATCATTAATGTTTCTATCTCTCTACCTCTCCCTTCCTCTGTGAAATCAATAAAATAAAATAAAATAGATAAAACATGACAATGAAGGTAATTCAAAATCCTCTATAGCTTTAGCACATAAGTAAAAGTGTTTAGTAAAATTTAATCTATAGTGAGTAAAACTAAGCAATGAAGACCAAGTTTCCTAATGTAAAAACTAATGACAGCCTTTTTCAGAAAGGAGTTGCAGCAAATATTTTTGTAATAAAATTACATAATGTAATATCTTTTAAATACATTTTATTAAAGGTCAATTTTTAAAAATATTTGATCAATACAAGGAATTAAGTCTTTATATTCCCCACTTTATGATTACAGTCCCGCTATTCAGACCAGCAAAGTTGTGTATTTGCTCTACGTAAACAGGTTTTCACCAGAAAACTGCTCTTCAGTGCTTCACTGTGATGCTGACGTTGCTTTTGTGGTGCTGGACATCGAGTACGAGTTCCTCCCCCATTTCCACCTGGATGGGATTATCTAAAACAACTGCAGCTTGTTTCCAGTGGGAGACTTCACTGGACGTATCTAACCTAATCTCATCATCAAGGTGCATATGATACCAAAATGGAATGGCGGTCACTTGTCCAGATTTACAAATGTGTACCTAGGAAAATTAAGAAATCTTGAGAATTTCATCAAAACAAATAGACTTCAATAAGTAAGTCTTTGCCTTGTTAGTAAATTTTAGTTCCAAATGTCATAAATATATTTAATTAGTAACCTATTTTACTCACTAATATTTTTCCAAGCCCATTTTTGGATATTGTTCAGAAAAGAAATAAATACTTAAATCTTCAAAAGAAGTGGCTAAAACAGTTTTATGTACATAAAGTGTTACCAAGTTTAAGATAATTATTCTGTGTATGACAAGAGTACTTATTTTAAGTTACCTTTACTTCTCTGTTAGAAGTGTTCAAATATGGAGTCATTAAATCCAGTCGTAGGAGTTCCACTGGCTTGCTTAAAGGTATACAAGGCAGTGAGGACAGGTCCAAAAATGCACGAATCGGTACCTAAAGAAAGTACAAGTTTTGCACTTTTAAATCTTTTTGTGGCTAACTGATTACTTTTGTACTTGGCTCAGTACATTACAATGCTTTTTTCATTTAGCTCAATTCTTACAACCACCTTAAGATATAAGGAATTTCATGATTCCAGTTTTACAGTTTAGGCAGATTAAATCATTTGTTTAAACCAGGGTTTCAATTATCTCTGGATTCTTTGCTTCGATGGAAGCAGATTAAATTTTTACTAAAGCCCAACAACTTAAATTTTTAAACCAAGAATGTCTTTTGTTTGGAAGATGAACGAATAAGCTAATAGTATAATATGAACTATTGAGTTTGAGAAAATATGTCAAATTCAATAAACTTAACAATGGATTTTGTTTGAAAATAAAATATATTTCTATAAGGCACTGATTTTCAACTTGGCTGCAAATTAAAATCACGAAGGGATGCTTTAAAATCTGACCATTGAGGCCGCACATCAGACTGATCTGGAGTTGGTTCTAATTACCAGTAATTCTGAAAGTAGTCATGCACTGCTTAACCAGGGGATACTTTCTGAGAAATTCATCATTAGGTGAGCATCACAGAGTGCACTTACACAAACCCAGATGGTACAGCCCACTACTGTAATTATGCCATGCTTTCATGCGACTGGCAGCTCAGGTCTGTTTACACCAGCATGACCACAAATACATGAGTAATGCATTGCTCCATGACATTACCATGGCTATGATGCACTAAGCAACAGGAATTTTTGAGCTCCATGACAATCCTATGGGACTACTGTTGGGATATGTGATCCTTAGGTGACTGAAACATCATTATGGGGTACATGACTGTAGAGTCAATGTTGACAATTAACTGCTATAAAGTGTCACGTCATTTGAAATAAAAAGGAAACAATTTTTAAAAAGTACCTTCCTGCCGAAACCGGTTTGGCTCAGTGGTAGAGCGTCGGTCTGCAGACTGAAAGGTCCTGGGTTCGATTCCAGTCAAGGGCATGTATACCTTGGTTGCGGGCACGTCCCCAGTGCGGGGTGTGCATGAGGCAGCTGGTCGATGTTTCTCTCTCATCGACGTTTCTAGCTCTCTATCTCTCTCCCTTCCTCTCTGTAAAATATCAATAAAATATATTTAAAAAAAAAAAAAAAAAGTGCCTTCCTGCCTGGCTAGAGTGGTTCTGTGATTGTCAACCTATGAACCAAGAGGCCCTGGTTCAATTCCTGGTCAGGTCAGGGCACATACCAGGGTTGTAGGCTCAATCCCAGGTAGGTGGCATGCAGGAGGCAGCCAGTCAATGATTCACTCTCATCTTTCATGTTTCTATCTCTCTCCCCCATTCACCTCCTCTCTAAAATCACATATATATTTTTTTTTAATTTTTTTTTAAGTACCTTCCTGTCTGAATAAAATATTAGAAGCAGATTCATCAACCTCTCCCTGGACATCCTTGAAAACATCCATCCTTCCTTAGGCTGATTTTTATCCATAATAAGTTCCTTTGCTCTAGGAAACTGTTAACCATCCTAATCCAGCAAAACATAATGACTATATAAAATATGAGAGAGAGAAGGTAGACTGTGGATAACAGCCACATGGTTAAATTTCTCTTCTAGGCATTTACCTGAAACTGGTTAATGAAAGGTGCTATATTTAATCCAAGAGTTCGTGCTGTTCCTTGAACTGCATTCTCTTCTCCCAGTGTCTGTGATTCCACGAGCAACCCAAACATCAGCACATACTGAGGAAAGATCTTGCCTCCAGATTGTAGCAAACACCTAGAAAAAGAGAAGTGTTTTTAAAAAAGCATCTTGATGCCCCACATTTTATCAATAGCAACAACTAAATCATGATGAACTAGTGAACTACAAATTACAAATAATCCAATGGACTTTTCCAAATAAAAAGCTGATGGAAAAGTTTCCAATAGGCAAGCAGGCTGCACTGTAATAGCTCTCCCTAAAGGCCAAATCATATACAGGTGTTCTGATGAACACAGTATCAGCAAGGAAAGTTAAAGATGATTCCTTAATGCAATGGCACCAGAATAATAGAAACAAGCCATGCTCCTAAATCAGGATAATCTCAGTAAATATGAGCACATGATCATTTAAATTGTAGTAAGTACTATATATACATTACCCTAAAAATAGACTCTATTCTGACCCCA